CAGTCGTGGAAAATGCGTTACTTTAAATTCCCTTCGCGGACGGAGTTTTCACTTAGCTACAACTTACATCTGCTATACTTGTAAAGCCGGGTTTTGCTGAAGAGAAGTTAAACACAAAAATAGGAGCATTCTCAGTGATCACACGGCATCGGACTTAAATTCCCACGAAATTTAGTCGAAGTGTTACATCTACGGCACTGTCTCTTTGCGTGATTGTCCATTACGTAAAGCGCGCGTTCGTAAAGTCGCACACGGCATCATCTACAACGCATTTCGTAGATGTGACCACGTCAGTTTACGAACTCCACTGTATTACGATGCAGTTCGCATAAAGGCGCACAGACACATTTACAGACGCAATTTCTTCACCAGGGACTGCCCCGCGTGTGCTTTCCGGTCTTTTAGTCTTCTCCACTTCATGCCCTCATTTGAACTTTTTTTCCTTCCTTGTTTTTCTGTCCGATGCAGTTTTGCCCAAATTGACGTTGCGGCATCGTTCCCACAAATGATCGTCTTCTCCCCTGACAGTGCGCCGTCAAAATTGTTTTGAGAATGAATCCGAAAGGTTGCGTCAACCGTGTTTCGTTTTCTATCCTAGAGTGCAGCGACGTTCATTTTTACGATGTTTGACATCCCATGCTCAGAATGTGTTGACCACCAAAAATGCCATTTATACACACACACATTACAATAATTGACTCAATTGCTAATGAGCGATGACCACGTTTTGAGCAATGGCATATTTTGAAGTAATCATTCGTTGAAATATATTTCGTGATATTAATTGAACGAACAAGTGCATGCCAAACAATGAGGTGAAAGCGTCTTACAGAGAAATTGAGCTTGCTTGCAGGCCTTGACAGGGAGGTGGCACACTGTTAACCCCACAGGGAATTGGCGTTCCGACCGCAGCTTTCATTGCGATATAAACGACCAGAAAGCCATCTGGAATAAATTTCGATTTAAAGCGTTCGTGACTGTAAGGATTCATCTTCTTTGGTTCTTTCGGTAAAGTCACGTAGAATGGAGGACAGCGCTGTCCTCCAGACAGTCTCGTCCCCTTCACCTGATGAAGGCCGCTTGTGTTGTGGCCGAAACGTCGTGAGAATATTATTATTTTCTTTTATCAATTTATTATTTTATTCTCATTCTACGTGACTTTACCATCTGGAATAGGTTCAATCTCGGATAATACTTAGCCGAGTATAACATACCACTCTTCCTGCCAATACAACTACCACTGTGCCTCTCGGAACATCTTCGTTAGCAGCGAATATTTCAACGGTGTGGTCAATATGGATAGGTTTCCAATAATTCTTCACTCATGACAAAATAATGATTCACTCACTTTGGCGGCGGTGTTATTTTTTTATGAATGTACATTCTCAACAACTAAATAGATGCGAACGTCAACAACTCTGTTGGTATCGTGTTGTTTTGCGTGTGTCATTAAACATCCAACAACACTGAAAAACCAAAGACAATCATTGCTCCTTCAAAACCTTTATTTTTTATTAAAGGGAATGCACACGGGTGAAGTGAACCAATGCTATTTTATCAGAAGGATCTTGCTGGCGCATGTATGTTTATACAGGACTTTAGGACTGGAAACTGCATCAACTATGTGTTCCTAGCTATTCCATTGATTTTAAGAAGTAGGCAGATATATTGTATATAACCTGTGCTAACTTTCTTCAGCAAAGAGGGTGTAATATATTGACTTTATATAATCATAAACAACTAAAATACTATATTCTTAGTTCTTTCGGTAAAGTCACGTAGAAGGGAAACAATAAAATAAAAATATAAAATAATACAATTCTCACGACGTTTCGACTGCAACACAAGCAATCATCATCAGGTGTGAAACCCGCAACTTTGTTCAAATTTTCTTGCTGTGGTTTTCACACCTGATGATGATTGCTTGTGTTGCAGTCGAAACGTCGTGAGAATTTTATTGTTTTATGTTTTTATTATTTTATTGTTTCCCTTCTACGTGACTTTACCGAAAGAACCAAGAATATGAATCCCTGCAGTCACGAAAGCTTTAAATAAAAAACTAAAATACCCGTGGGGAGGCATGTGAGGGCCGAAATGTATTTGAGCAAGTGATGAACTTAAGCTTGCGTAGTCACGCCTGCTGCCAGTCAACGCTGTGTCCCACAATGTCCATGAAGTTTCTGAAATAACACGTTCCATTAACTCTCATAAAATCTTAAGAAATTGTTTGCAACAACGTGTGATGTCGTTGGCTGGGACATTTACATGACTTAACAATTATCACGAAATGTCCGCATTGTACATGCTGTATATCTCTCTACAAGTGGTTGTCAAACATTTTTGACACTGAGATATTCAATTAACAAATTTTGTTTCCATACAAGATCTCCTCGTAAATAATACAGCCATTGTCCTCTTCGCTCATCACGATGTAATTGTAAAACAAAAAGGCTAACATAAGGTTAGTTGGGGGGGGGGGGTTTGTAGAAATCTTCATTTTTTTAATTGCTAGTATGTTGATACACATCTGGCAGTCTCTAAAATGTGACATTCTCAGTCAAACCGTGAGTTCTCTGAACAGCTCCTACATTAAACCGTATAAAAAATGTATTAAGACTCATAAGGTTAGATGTGCACGATGTTCCCAAACATACATGCGGTTTAAATGTTTGCTCATTGTCGTTATACTCGCAAAGAAACTCAAACGTCACGTGGCAATTAAAACATGTTGCATCTGTAGTGCATGCTAATTATTTCAGCCGATAGTTTTAATATTTTTTTTAAACAATACCAGTAATGGTTACGATGATGCATTGAGTGCTGCGCTGGAGCAAGATTCTGGTTGTAGTTTTGTTTGTTGGAGAATATTTACAGCGGATAAACCCATGAGTATCCATTCATGTTGATACTTTATACATGAACCATCAATTATTTGAACGCTTTTTGTCTTTCTGTTGTGATATTTGTCAGATACGTTATTTCACACTAATGCGAATTCCATTTGGAAGTAATTGCATGAACCTTGAATGTTATCCCCAAATTCAGTTCATGCAGGATTACCCAGTGTTACTTATACAGGGCTCACAAAGCCTCAAGAGACACGCATAGTGGCCGGAGAACAGCGAGCGATATATAAACGTTACGTTGCTTTGTGTTTATTTTAAATTAATAACAAAGTCCCTCTTGTTTCCCATGGACATACGTGAGAAAGGTTGTAGCACAATGAATTACTACCAAATGCATCGTATATTAAATAAACAATTATCATTAAGTTGTGCATGCTGTGTAAATGTTACTCGTCATCTCGTAGCAAAATGCACACGACAGCACCATTCAATAAAACATGGGACATTCAACACCGGACACAAATCACGAATGTTGCCGCATTCCCACATCACCGGAATTAGGTTTTTTTTGCTATTTACGAACATTCAAGAGCCCAACCCTGGCACATGGGATGAGGGTTACGCTATCGTAGTTTTGCACTTTGGAAAAGCTTCAACGTGATGTGGGAATACCTACCCATAAACTAAATTTAAGCGTCGATATTTCTCACTCACCTACACGTGAACGTGTCATCATGCTCCTTCATGAGACACTTCACGACGAAGTGAACCTGTGGTTCTCATCTCTCCGGGCGTTTGAGCCAGCAGTGGAAATTCCCATGGCGAGGGCTAATCTCGTTGCAGGGCGACCACTGCCATGACCTTTTCATAGTGAGGCTCCCATTTTATCCATCACAGATGACGCTTATAAATTTTATCAGATTTTAAATTGACCAGAAACATGGACACCGATGTAACAAAAGCTGGCAGAAAAGCAGCGACGTAAAAATGAACACATGGATTCGAGAACATGCTGGTTAACTGCTCGAATTCAAAGTGGTTGTTGGGTAAGACACCGCTAAGATGGTCAAGTATTGTGCAGTGAAAGCAAATGGAATGCATTCGTGGATTTGCAGATTGGGAGTGATAAAATCAGCTTGTGCGCAGGTTGTTACATTGCAGAATAACGGTGAATGGCAGAGGCCTTCACCCAGCAACGGATTGACCGTGGCTGCTGTCGATTAGTTTTTTTAAAATTGAGGCGATTGATCAATGTTGTGTACCTACATGGCAAAGCAGTTGTCACTGCGTTCTTACCTTGTGTAGCTTATCTGACATCTTTTTCAGGATGGTCGGGTACATTGGGATGCTTGGCTTCTTGCGGGATGAAACCAGGTGGCCAAAGCAAAGCCATCATGCGCAAGCTCTGTCGATTCATTAATCTACTACTATATACTTACAGCTTCTGGCACTGAAGAAGCCAGCCCCAACTCTACAACAGCTGGTGTTTCAAAGCATCCATGCAATTTCGACCCACTCAATCCTAGTACAGTATTGTAAATTATAAATATTTTCTGGTGGGTTATCAATGTATCCACTTTGGGGATGGCAACTGAAAGTGCAAGCCAAAGATGAAAGCCAGATACATTTCTTCTATCTAATCATATACAAATTGATAAATGTTATCACTTGGGTTGTTTTGAAAGCTTCATATTTGACCAGGCTCAATCTCTTCATACCGGCGATTCGGTACACACTCAACAAAAATTGACATCATATTTCTACTCACGTTTACTTTCATTTCAAACAAATGTGCAAAACTTTTTTGTGCTGCATCTACCCATTATGGTCATGTAAACTGCAGGGGTCAGGGGTTTAATACTGCACACATGCGTTTATGTGAATAGCTATTTCTCTTCTTACATCTCATCTGAATGCATCTCCAATCTCCGCTTACATCACGTACTAATACATTATCAGAAAACATTACTATTAGGCTAGTTCATATGCAAAACCAAACCAGCTCAGTTCTCAGTGGTTATGAGCAGTGAGGGAACCAGGGTTTCAAATTTAACTGAAAATAGTTGGTCTCTAATCCGACTTGGTAACACACTGTTTGGGCCCAACTGCATGCAAATGTACAAAACACTTGGGGCTGAAAAACCACCACACCAATTGAGATTTTTATTGTTTTATTTTTGACAACATGAATGCGTTTTAGATCCGCGGCGACCGGAAGGCCATGCCCAGAATAGGCTGAGTGACCTGCAGGTTGGGCAGGTTTCCAAAGTCCTGTAAGGGTTAAAATGGAGAAAAAACGGGCATGATCACCATTGGTGGAAATTCAGTAATAAACGTGCAAGTTACACAATTATATTAAAATGCACTCAGCTGCACTAGTCATTAAAGATTCTCACCAGCACTTTCAGCATCTCCTTGGTGTCCGGATCAACCTCAATCACTTCATGGTCGAGGGCCGATACCTGGTGAGAAAGGAGTGGTACATTTAAGTTAGAACATAGCTGGATAACTCGGTTGCGGTGTTGCACCTGTGAGACGCTGGGTTCAATCCAAGGTTTTCACCAAAATAGAAACTTGGTTCGTTTGAGGTCTCAGTGAATGACCATGCTTCAGACCTAAAAAGCATAGGTATTTGGCAAATATCATTTCATTGCTGAAATGATTGAAATACATACGTTTTTCACTTAATGAACTTGAATGGCCTATTTCTGATGCCTTCAGGTTGAAAGTTCACCCAATTATGCAAACCGTACCAAGAGTACTGTTAAAAGTTTATGTTCATTTGGCAACGAGTCAGTCATTTAATGCCATTAAAATCTCAACCAAGAGCAAAAGCTTGCCCAAGAACCCATTAAAAGGACCCCCTCCTTTCTTGACCTGTCAAACAATATGAGAACCTTTTGTCCAGCTTCCATGAAGCTTCTTTGAGAAAAGCCCCTATAAAGACTAACAAAAATGCACCATTGTCCAGCAGCCACTACTTGTGCTGTGATGGTGCCCTTACATTTTTTGATATCCATCTATATGTATACACAATACTGAGTAGTTTCAAAATCTTTTTTAGAGTGTTCATCATTTTTAATCTTCTTTGATAGTAGGATACACATTTTTGAAGGTATTATTTTTCAATCCTACCTACCAATTTAAAAAAGAATATGGTTGAAATTCAAATCTGGCCACTAACTTTTTTTTTAACTGCAAAGGCTGCTGTGCTATGAAAAATAAAAACCATGTCTTTGTGGCTGCAAGAGTTGGCGATAGATACAAAGATCCGCAGAGGCAAACTTACACAAACAAATGGAGATCCATACATTACTTTTTGGTTTGAGTTTTTTGGGGTTTACATCACAAACATTGCAGATATGATCTCTTAAGTAAATTATCTTTGCATTTTTGTATACTTTCATATGAATAAATTGGGGGGGGAGTGTCCCCACATCACCATGGACAATTGGTGTTCTACTGTCGAGTAAAAATATACAGACATTGGCTTATATGACCTGTGTTGTGACCGATGTCAACAGTAGCAAATTACTAAGTATAGAGATATGAGATTAAAGTTCTATATCAAAGATAACACCCTAGTCACAGATACTATAAGGTTCTAATAAGCAAATAGGAGGTTCATGATCAAGGGCAGACTTATTTCCAAGGAAAATATTTTGAAAATATTCAGGTGTAATAATACGAACATATCCAAGTTGAGAAATAGAGGCATCAACAAAAAAATCAGATGTGAAGCAGGAACAATGGAGTTTATGGCATTGGTCAAGAAAAACGACGAGTTTGCTTAGGCTGGAAATCATTTTGCAGTGTTAAGAATTAAGCACTGCACTTTATACACGCATGAAAATAATCCTAACAAATTGCGAAAACAAATCCAGTTTTATACATCACTCAAAGATACTGAACGGAAAAATAAAGGTTTACCCTCACTGTCATAAACACAGGTGTTTAGATGGTCAAACAACCAAATGTATGTTTGTTGAACTTCTTTCGCACCGTACGTAACTGTGCTAAGCGTCGGTGCGGGAATAGACACCAATGAATGACTTGGTTTTTTTTATCATTTAATATCTTGATACTGGCAAAAAGGTTGAAGTAGCTATCACCTGAAGAGCCGGCAACTGCTGGACAACAGCAATTCTTTGTGCTCTTTCACACCAGAGTCATGGACACTCCATGGTAATGTCACTGTGAACAACACTAAAGAAGACCATGCATGTACCTCGGGCACGTAGTTGTCACGCCGCTCCCTCTCTTCCTCCTGCAACTTGATGGAGATGCCACGGACAGGGCCGCGCTGGATACGCTTCATCAGGTGGGTCACATACCTGGGCACAGAAACACAGTTACAAAATGTAACTCAAAATAACAATTGGAATTGTGAAAGAGTAAAAATAAATTGATCAGCAAGGTCTCCGTCATATCTACATTTCCAGATAAAAAAATTAGTACTTTTGCACATCCCACCAACCACAAGGATTTCTAGGAGCACCCAATTATCTGACAAATTTGTTCAATACAAACTCTTGAACAGTTGCATCAGTGCCCCATTAGTAGCTTATTCCAATAATGACTCATAGAATAACATGATTAAGAATGAGATGTTGGGCATGCAGAACTAAGACCACAATTTAAATAATGATTGCAAAAAGATATGACTGGAATAAGGCTTAAAATTATTGATATTATTGTACCTCTTGTCAAACTAGAACTTGCAATGCAATATACTAACTGTACAAAACTAGATTTCATTTAAAGCAGTTGTCTATCATCATCCTGACAATGCATATTTGCGGATGCTGGCTGGACATACAAAGTTTTAATGTCACATTTAAATTTGACTTCAAGCAATAACATTGTTAATTAATACCCAGACTCTCAAAATCCCCAAAATACAGCTTTCAAGAACCGAGCCGTGATATGCCATTTTAGAGAAATCTGGTGGCCATCTTGGGATAAGGTTATCGAGCAACATTTGCCCCCAATTTTTAAGAGTCCCTCAGCACCATGTGTAAATTGCCCAGATTTCTATTATTGCCCCTTCAAGAACCTAAACAAATCGTTTCCCTAACACAAAACATCGTTACCACCAAAAACCTGGATTATCCATCCATAGAAAATGCAGTTTACTATCTCAATTATTTTGCATTGGCGTATATGCAGTTTTAAGTATTAGTGGAATTGTGGTGTGGTGTCGTGCACGGCACTTCGACCCAGGCAACCAGATTTGAATTATTGGCCACGGCTAACAATCAATGACATGTAATATTAGAACCGGCCCTGGCCTCACCAACCCGCATTTACGAGCATGATGAAGTACGGTAAAAAAAAAACCTTGACAGATTGATAAAAGGGCTGTAAAAGTCCTTACTTTTACAGAAGAAAATATACGTCGCAGTCTTCCCTACTGAGATATCAAATGTATTATGGTGATGTCCTAGCATTAAAAGAATGGAACCATTTAATTATTTGAAAAGTAAATACTAAATTATCTATTTTCCGAGTATTACAAAGTTTGACGTATTACGTAAACCGCACTTTGATATTAATGCCACACGGCCTATTGCATTATAGCACCATTACAATTTAAATACAAGCATAAGGTTACATTTTTTTCATTCAAATCTTGCAATATATATGGTTCAACCTCGGTGTACCATTCTCCACACCAAACTGCTTCATATAAAAGGATTGCCTGCCACATTATCAACTAGGCAATTCTGCCATTATAGAGAAGCACAGCTACTGATCTGGTCAGGACGGCCCCAGGGAACGTCTTCACATCGCACTGCGGCGATTCAAGCACTTAACGGAGCGAGTGTTCATCACAAAGAACCGGCACTCACACGTGGGGGGGACACACCTCCTTGGGGCTGACTGCACATCATTCAAACATTACCAACCACCACGTGGGAAGGGTTAAAGAAGGGTTAAAGAAAACAAGAGTAAATTTTGTACACGCAAATACTTTTTTTTTTAAATCGTTTAAGCCACGTGACTTTGTGTACCGCCGTGAAGCCCGTTGTCCTTTGTGCGTTAACAATCTAGCTTTGAAGCTTTCGTGACTGCAGGAACCCATCATCTTTGGTTCTTTCGGTGAAGTCACGTAGGTAGAAATAAAATAAAAACTAATCACGACGTTTCGATCGCAACACAAGCAAATCTTCATCAGCCCCTCTTCTCTCCCCCTTATATAACCTCTTGCAGCTCCCGCATACTTCAACAATTTTCTTGCTGTGGTTGCCCCACCTGATGAAGATTGCTTGTGTTGCGATCGAAACGTCGCGATTTGGTTTGATTTTATTTCTACCTACGTGACTTTACTGAAATAACCAAACAGTTATCGGGTTAACCCGACACTACACGCTGTACTGCGCACTGTATATACATATACAGGGCAAGGTGATTTTATTTCTACCTACGTGACTTTACTGAAATAACCAAACAGTTATCGGGTTAACCCGACACTACACGCTGTACTGCGCACTGTATATAACTATACAGGGCAAGGCCGTACACTGCCCGGCACGTTTCGTTTTTTACGAAACCGACATCACAGGGTGAGAACGTAGCCCACGAACATCCCAGTCCTCTGTGGAAAAAAAAATGCTACCTTTGTAAGGTAAACGCTTCCCTCTAAATCCGCTCTCTTATTTTAGATTAACAAAAAAAAAATCCACATTTTTCAAGCGCGCAGAGGCCCGCGCGCGTCCACGGTCCCGCTCCGGCCATCGGCACCGGCGCCGCCCTGGGCCTGTTACCCCGCGATCTTGTTGCGAAGCGGCTTGCTGGGGATGATGGCGATCTCCTCGCACACGCGCTTGTTGGTGTGGAAGTCATTGCCCAGGCGGGTGTAGTACTTCTCGATTATCACCCGCGCCGCCTTCTTGATCGTCTTGGTGCGTACGCGACCCTGCCGGGAGGGAGGAGGAGGAAGAGGCAAAGAGGGTGAGGGACGGTGGTGAGATTACAAGGCGCTCTCGAGTAACAAACTCAACGCGGCGGCCCGTACACGCGCCGCAAATGAAATAATGGGGCGCGAGGTGTAGCGCGGCTGCGTTGGTGTCCGCGCGGCCGCCGCTGCGGGATGCGCGGCGAGAGGCAGGCGTGGATGGACGCGGATGGCGGAGCGGAAGGGCGGGAGCAGCGAGAGAGGCACCCACCATGTTGCCTGCGCGCCGAACGAGAGAAGGGGCCGAGGTGGGCGCGTCGCGTCACCCGCGGTACGAGGACCCCTCCCGCGCGCTGCCCGCAGCAGTTGCCTGTTAAAAAATATATATATCGATTGCTTTACAGATTTATACTATGACGATTTGCTTTTTAAAAAAAAATCTGCACGATCGTTAAATATGTTCTGGGGTAATGTACTATTGAAAAAAGTTAGATTATTGTATGAATAAGCGAATCATTTGACGTATGCACAGGCATATGTTGGGCGACTGTGGCGTGCCAGAGCCTCGTGAGGACCCAAGGGAAAGTGTGCTCGAGAACGGCTTCTTAGCGCATGCGCACAAACAACCTCCACCACCACGACAGCAGCAGCCACAACAACCACCACTACCTCCACCACCACCACTACAGCAGCAGCCACAACAACCATCACTACCTACACCTCCACCACCACTACAGCAGTAGCCACAACAACCACTACAGCAGCCACGACAACCACCACTACAGCAGCCACGACAACCACCACTACAGCAGCAGCCACAACAACTACCACCACCACGACAGCAGTAGCCACAACTACCACCACTACCACAGCAGTAACCACAACCACCACTACCACCACCACTACAGTAGCAGCCACAACAACCACCACTACCTACACCACCACTACAGCAATAGCCACAACAACTACCACCACCACTACAGCAGTAGCCACAACAACCACCACTACCTACACCACCACAACAGCAATAGCCACAACAACTACCACCACCACTACAGCAGTAGCCACAACAACTACCACCACCACTACAGCAGTAGCCACAACAACTACCACCACCACTACAGCAGTAGCCACAACAACCACCACTACCTACACCACCACAACAGCAATAGCCACAACAACTACCACCACCACTACAGCAGTAGCCACAACAACTACCACCACCACTACAGCAGCAGCCACAACAACCACCACTACCTACACCACTACAGCAGCAGCCACAACAACCACCACTACCTACACCATTACCACAGCAGTAACCACGGCAACCACCACTACAGCAGCAGCCACAACAACCACCACTACCTACACCACCACTACAGCAATAGCCACAACAACTACCACCACCACTACAGCAGCAGCCACAACAACCACCACTACCTACACCACCACAACAGCAGTAGCCACAACAACTACCACCACCACTACAGCAGTAGCCACAACAACAACCACTACCACCACCACAACAGCAGTAGCCACAACAACTACCACCACCACCACGACAGCAGTAGCCACAACAACCACCACTACCTCCAACACCACCACTACAGCAGTAGCCACAACAACCACCACTACCTACACCACCACCACAACAGCAGTAGCCACAACAACAACTACCACCACCACAGCAGTAGCCACAACCACCACTACCTCCACCACTACAGCAGCAGCCACAACAACCACCACTACCTACACCACTACCACAGCAGTAACCACGGCAACCACAACTACCACCACTACAGCAGCAGCCACAACAACCACCACTACCTACACCACAACTACCACTACCTCCACCACAACTACCACTACAACCACCACTATCGCCACCACAATCACTACAGCAGCAGCCACAACAACCACCACTACCTCCACCACAACATCCACCACAATCACTACAGCAGTAGCCACAACAACCACCACTACCTCCACCACCACCAATACAGTAACCACTAAGGGGCCGTCCATAAATGACGTCACGCACCTAAGGAGGGGGGGGTTAGACATTTGTGACGATGTGTGACGAGGGGGGAGGGGTTTGAGAAATGTGACGTCACTTTCAAAATGCGCAACTTTAAATAAATATAGACACGTTCTACTTAATTAGACTTTTTAATAAATGTTTTCTCCTACAACATAGTGCAGCGCCACATTAAATACGCACTACAATGACAATAGTTTAAAGCGATTTGAAGAATGTTTTATTTTAAAAATGGAAATATCGTTGGGGGGGGGGGGGGGGGGTATGCCTTTGTGACGTCATATTTGAGGAGGGGTCTGACTTTTTGTGACGGGAGGGGGGGTAAAAATCGCGTGACGTCATTTATGGACTGCCCCCTATCTTAGAGTTACTATATTTTAATATCACAATTATGACCTCAATTGTAATTTCACACGAATAATTGTTGCTATTGGTAAAACCAAATTACATGAACATTGAATTATTCCCCACTGATGTACTAATTGGTTTGTAACTATAGAATGTAATTGCAGGGCTGTTGACTTTTGCACGAATTGTACTCAACTGTAGAATGTCGTGTAACAGAAGGGTCTTCTAAAACAGGTGAGCGGTGAGTCCGCGCGTGGCCCGCCCATTATTTTATTGACCACGTCCTTCCGCGCCTATTTCCCGCACTGCGCACTTGTCTCAGTCACCGTTTTGGTAAGCCCACAAGCTAACCCCTAGTAGCCAAAATGAGTAAAAAAAGACAAACGTCACTGGAGAGCTTCTTTGAAAAGGGTGAAAGACCCAATGATGAACCCCCCTCCCCCTTCCCCACCGGTCCACGAAACCGGTCCCTGGTGCCAAAAAGGTTGGGGACCGCTGCATGCACATTTACGGTTTACAAATGTTATTCCGGTACATGTGTGTTCCACAAAACGTCAGGAATTACGCGATAACAATGTAGGCGCAGCTTTCTTGTACCAGAAAATAAGCTACGCCCTGAAGTTGTGGCAGCAATAAATCTGACGCGTGTTTGAGGTGTCTTAAATCAGTTTCTTTATTTCTCAGTTGCACAAAAACGAGCTATTTCTAAAGTTATATCTTCGCCTGTTCACGTGCTGTATCATCCCTGCCGCACGGCCAAACGACTGTATCCCCCCCCCCCCGCCCATTTATACTGTGAAAACAGGAAGTGACGTCATGGGTTCAACCAACGGAGCGTCTAACCACAGGGGGGTTTTTACACAGTTGGGATATTCCAAATCAAATATAAATAAATTAATGCAAACCGACACACCTGATGACGACCGTTTGTGTTATGGTCGAAACGTCGTGAGAATTTTTATTGTTTTATATATATTTTATTATCAACAAATGTATGACGGATGTACATCCAAATCTATATACAGAAATAATACACTCACTTTCTGTCTTATGGCTCTTACAAACATTCCAAGATCTTAAACCTGCTGGAATGCGGTTATTTTGCATGTGGAAGGACAGCTGAGTCGTGGAGAAAACCCAAGCGTATGAGTGGTTAAAACTCAAAGTTGGGTTAATTAACCAACTTTCTGTACTGTGATATTGCTATAAAATAGATTTCTGTTTATATGATTGTGGTCATGGTTGTCATTTATTCATCCCTAATATCTGCCATTACATACAATGAAACAAGAAAAGTTAAAAAAAGGAAAAAAACAGAGCAATGTAATATATGCATTGATTTATATGAAGACAAGTCCAAATATTGTAGCCAAGGTTTAGCAAATTGTTTTTATTTACATAGCATAGCAATTTGTTACAGCAATATATTGGGGGGGGGACATTTTGAGCATATTAGAATATTTTAATATTGGGGGGGACGTGTATCGGGGGGGACGTGTATTGGGGGGCACGTGTCCCCTCAATATATATTATAATTACGGCCTTGCATTATAGTGACTGCGTTTGAGATTAACATTATAACAAAGTCTGCTATATAAAAAAAATAGACTGACATTCATTCTGCAGCTATACAAACATAGCATGTGTTAGTCCATCAGCCTGCTGGCCTTCAAAGTACCTTACGTGTAACTAAATACACAAGCAGTTTGTTTCAAACAATAGCATTCTTTAAACAACCGATCGGCCACACGGAATTCGGCTGAGTGCATGATTTCAGCAGCACTGATTTTTATCTATTCATACCCTGGACGAGCTCCGACACAGTGTCTTATCAGCAGTCATGCTTGCTTTAATCACTGCTGGTAAACTACCATCGACGCTCTCTCTGCGATATGGGGAAGTCGACGCCAAACGATGTAATACATCACACAAAATAGGCTGGAACAACACGTGTGTGTGAACACGTGTTTACCATGAAGCTGGTCGGCTGCTGTGTGACCCCCCCGGAGTTGAGAGCGCGTGGCGGGGTGAGGAGGGGGGGGTGGGGGGGCGTGAGGGGGGGTGAGGGGCGTGAGGGGGGGTGAGGGGCGTGAGGGGGGGTGAGGGGCGTGAGGGGGGGGGCGTGAGGGGGGTGAGGGGGCATGGGGAGGGGTGAGGGAGGGGGCGAGGGGTCGAAACGCGAGCGATGCGAGGCGGAGGAACGCGGCTTGGGACGTAAAAGGAGGAGGGGGGATAGACGGTGGGGGGGAGAAGGGGGAGGGGGGAGAAGGGGGGCAGGGGAGAGGGGGGGGGCAGGGGGGCTGGGGGGGAGGGGGGGCTGGGGGGGGGAGGGGGGGCTGGGGGGAGGGGGGGCAGGGGGGAGGGGAGGCTGGGGGGGCAGGGGGGAGGGGGGGCTGGGGGGTGGGGAGAAGAGGGGGGAGAAGGGGGGGCAGGGGGAGAAGGGGGGCAGGGGGAGAGGGGGGAGGGGGGCAGGGGGAGAGGGGGGCAGGGGGAGGGGCAGCGGGGAGGCAGGGGGGTGTGGAGAAGGGGAGGGGGGTGTGGAATAAGAGCGCGAGGAAGAGAGCCAGAGTTGGGAGAACGACACAAGGGCGTGCAGAGAGAGAGAGAGGGTAGAGGGTTTTATATATAGCGATAGAGAGAGGCGAGACGGGGAGCGGTGATCGAGAATAAGGGAGCGCAAACTCGAGGGGGACTCTAGAGAGAGAGACAAGGGAAGAGGAAGGTGAGGAAGAGGAGAGAGAGGAAGAGGAGAGAGGGGAAGGTGAGGAAGAGGAGAGAGAGATAGGAAGGTGAGGAAGAGGAGAGATAGGAAGGGCTACACGGCGGAGGGAGCCGGCGGGAGTGAAGGCGCAGGAGGAGGAGGAGCTGCCACGCTCCCAAGTTCCCCGCCTGGCAGAGAGGGGCCCTCGGCCGTGGTATGGGAGCCCGGGGCGACCGCTGGGCCTAGAGATGGGGCCGCGCTCGCTGCTGCTCCTGCTGCTGCTCCTACTACTGCTGCTGCTGTGCGCGTCCGTGGCCGTGTCCCTGCAAGGTGAGTCGTGCCCTGTGAGCCGTGCCCCGTGAGCCGTGAGCCGTGCCCCGTGAGCCGTGAGCCGTGCCAAGCCGTGCCCCATGCCCCGTGAACCGTGAGCCGTGCCAAGCCGTGAGGTGTGAGCCGTGCCAAGCAAGCCGTGTGGTGTGAGTCGTGCCCCGTGCCCCGTGAGCCGAGCCGATCCGAGTGTGTGACAGCCCCACCAGGTTCACCTAACGCGACCCCTCTGCTGCTGCTGCTGCGGCTGCCCCAGACGCCTGAGAACGCAAGCCTTTGGGTCTGGGTCGTGAGTTGTTAAGAATACAAATAATAGGGGAGAAAAAATAACATCCCGCGTGATTGTGGTCAAGAATAATGCATAACTTCGATCAAGGCTGTAATTATAATATATTGGTGGGGGGGGGGGGACATCCCCCCAATATTCAAATATGCTCAAAATATCCCCCCCAATATATTGATATAAAATAGATTTCTATTTATATGATTGTGGTTATGGTTGTACTTTATTAATCCCTAATCTCTGCCATTACATACAATGAAACAAGAAAAGATAAACAAAGCAATGTAAATACAATACACGATTAGACATTATTGTTAAAAAGAAATTTTAAAAAAAATCCATCCCATGTGTTGGTGAATTTTTTAAAAAATATTTTAGGCAGGGAAATGAGTTTAAAAATTTAGATTTTATTTTTTTCTGGGAGGGGACCCCCAGACCTCCTGGAAGATTTGGTGCCCCCCCCCCCCCCAATGGTGACTCAATGGCTACGGCCTTGACTGCGATAGTAAGAGATGTGTTCTATCTTCATATGTTGGCCGCTCCAGTGCACCTCATAACACATGCAATGCAGTATATAAACTCGCGTAACGTATTGCGCAACTAGCTCAGTGTAAGTCGATTATTTTAACATTCAAATTTCATTTAAAGTCAAGTTTGCACGTTATTTTATAAGTTCAGTTTCAATCAAATTGCCCATGTTCTACTTCACATGTGCATTGCAGGAATGATCCCAATATATATTTTGATTTGAAGTTTTCGTGACTGCAGGGATCCCATACTCTTTGGTTATTTCGGTAAAGTCACGTAGGGTATATATATAAAAAAATGTTTAACCACGACGTTTCGATTGCAACACAAGCGATCATCATCAGGTGTGAAAACCACCCCCGCAAGAAAATGTTGAGTTTTCACACCTGATGATGATTGCTCGTGTTGCAATCGAAACGTCGTGATTTAATTTATTTTACATTTTCTACCTACGTGACTTTACCGCAAGAAACAAAGAGTATAACGAGCTTGTTTGCCCCTCCTAGGACGGAAGCTGTAATATTTACCAAAAAAGTGAGCGTGGTATAATTGCATCTTCATTTAATGGCAGTGAAGCTTGCACGAAAGTACGTCATCAAACACCTCACTGAATGTCACTGTAGCACTGTATGTAACTGACCTTCAATTTGTTTAAATTCGCTGCTCCGATTCTCTACTGGAATTCGATACAATATCTGGCAAATCACCGAGAAATGTCTATTTTACCATAATGTAGAAGCATAAATGAGACTTACCTTTTGCCTCAAGTGCTGAAGAAATAAATAAAGACACCAAATCCACTTTGTTGCTGCGTATGATTATTTATTAGATTCACTTTCAATAAAGAAACGTCAAACTGAAAGCGAATTTGCGTGAGTGTAAAAGAAAATCCACCCGCTCATGAATATTAATTAATGGGGGGGGGGGGGGGTGTGGCATGTGGAGTGACGTCACGCGCGGGACACACAGACATTCTCGGCTCATTATAGTAGTAAATACATCAATACAAATGGTGGCACTCCTAAATAGTGCCATGCGTCACCAACATGATCGTGATGGGATTACGGAAATAAGCCATCCCCCCCCAAAAAAAACTGAACACATTCGTCAACAACACCGACTTTTAAACGAACAAAAAAATGTTCACGGTAATAGTCAACGTTTCGGGCAATGTCCCTTCTGCGCAGCACATAGAGAGCGGCCAGAGAGGTTTGAGTCTGCATCTCTCTTGTGAAGAATGGCTGCGTCCAAAACGTCGCCTGTAGTATTTTGTTGTCTTTTTTTTTCTAAGGCCGCTGTGACTGACAAATGTTTCGGCTTATTGTTGATTTTCGTGCGTGTGCATCACTGCAAAGTCGGCGTCAACAAACAATGATGGGAATGAGCCGTGATCTGCCTGCTGTTGGATGGGGACCCCCCCCCCCCACCCCCCCCCCCCCCCCCCCCCCCCCCCAATTACGTCGCGATCTGTCACGGTCTTGTCGTGCAACAATCCGTCTCCTGTGCGCCAGCCGATTTCATCGCTCCATCTCCGCGGCGGTGGCCGTCCCCGTCCGGGACGTGTCCTCTCGCTTGTCTGCCACCGGTGGCGTTAGCCCTGACCACCAGCCATGGTTCTTCCTCGCGAGGTGCCTGGCCCATGTCCACCTCTTCTCGTACTCCAGTGGCTGCGATGCATCACGAACATGTGTTTTTCTCATTCGTGCGTTCCTCTTACTGTCTTTCGGGCCTCATTCCAAGCATGTGTCTCTCTCTACGCTTAGGGGCCGTCCATAAATGACGTCACGCACCTAGGGGGTGGGGGGGGGGTTTGAGAAATGTAACGTGACATCAAAATGGGCAACTTTAGATAAATATAGTCAACACGTTCTACTTAATTAAATATACGTTTTAATAAATACGCACTACAATGACAGTAATTTAAAGCGATTTTAAGCATGTTTTTTGTGGGGGAGGGGGGGGCAGAGCTTTGTGACGTAATATTTGAGGGGGGGCAGAGCTTTGTGACGTCATATTTGAGGGGGGGCAGAGCTTTGTGACGTTATATTTGAGGGGGGGGGGTCTGACTTTTTGTGACGCCGTGTGACGAAGGGGGGGGGGGGGGTTCAAAAATCGTCCAAAATCGCGTGACGTCATTTATGGACGGCCCCTTATTTGAACTATTGTTTTCCCGTGTCTTTGTAATTGTTCATGTTTCTGATCGATATTAGCAGATAATACAACAGTTATACACTGATCACCATGCTGTTTTTTTAAGCATACTGATATTATTTTCATTCAGGTATTTTTTTTCCCCAAAATCAATGCAACCTGAAATTGTCCATCTTTTTATGTCATTACTTTGATCCCAGTCCACATTTAGTAATTGCCCTATATATGCATACTCTGGTGTGTTCCAATTGTATCACTCGCATAATACTCTTAAATTGTGTAGTGAACATGTACATATGTACGTCAAACTTCTTTCGCACCGCATGTAGCCAACCGTGCTAATCGGAGGTGCGGGGAAGGTTTTTTTTAAATAAATATTTTCGAGACGACTTTGCAGCCTTTCCCGATGACATTCTTCGATGCTTTGATGTAGTTGATTTACATTAGTTGTTATATTGACTGTCACCAGCAAATATGAGATGGTTAATGTATTTTTCCATTTCTTTTTGTGCGTGAAATTATTCCAATCCAACTCCCTGAAATCATCTTCTCATGTCACTGTGAAAAACTATGTTGCTAGCATGTCTCATTGTCTGTTTTCATGGAATTCCAGTGTAGCTGGTGCCTTGATGTAAATGGTGTGCATTAACAACAGATTTACACCTTAGGTTTTTGAGAGCTTGCATGACTGCATCAATGTCCACCGAGTCTAATACCTGTTCAGAGTCTACAGAGGCTAGGAATAATGGTAATTGGTATTTATTAGTGAAATTAGAATCCTAATTGTCATTGTAAGATATGACTGATATAAAAAAATCAACAACAGGAAGAATTTGCAGGCTGGTGCCATGAAAATTGCACTTCATTATAGCCACATGTCAGGAAATAAGTAATAAAAAACACTTTTAAAAACACCCGCTTTCATGAAATGTACCGTACTAGTAATGGAAGAATTCCACGACTCCAGGAAGTGGCCCCGAAGCTTGCCATGACGTAAGGGGACCGTGACCAATTACAGCCAACGTCAGTTGAGCGTGGACAATTATACCCAAGCCGAAACATAACATATAAAAAATAATGTTTAAAAAATATGCTTTTTCTAATTTTTAATGATAGAATATAGTATTGTCATCAGTATGACATAAGCATACCAAGTTTGCAGTCGATACCACATTGAGAAGTGGGTTCAAATTGAGTTACAAGATTTGAGGATACAACGGCAACAGACAGAGCGAGTTAAAATAAACGGTGTAAAAAAGATAGTTAACATTGAAAAGCTAGCTCAGGAGGTAGCTGAATGTTGCTTAGACTAACTCTAAGCAACAATTCAATAACTAGGGGGACTATTTATGAAGTGAATGTCACCACTGAAAATAATGCAATGACCACCATAGTTATGGATAGTGTCTTGTAAGTGGACAAGATGACAATGCACCCAGATAACATCTGATATCTCAAAAAAAATGTTGAAGACATAGACAGGTGTTAATCTAAAATTTAAATATGCAGAACTGTAAAATTCTTTGTAAGAAGAGAATGAGAGGAAAATAGAGAACATAGCATAGCAATGGTTTAAGACGTCTTAAGCAGCAGGAGAATGAAAGCAGCAATATGGATGTTGATGATTGGCAATTAGAAATGGTCACTCTTTGTGGAAGATATGTAACCATGACACATTGAAACGATTTAAGTTTAGAATTAGTTGATTAGATATACGCATATATTCTAGGAAAAAGACCACTTCTCATATGAAGGGTAAAACGTTCAAGATGTGACACTTTGAATTCATGAAATGTGTCCTTTACAGTGTGGTATAATTACAATTAGACCACGTGGTTCAGGATATTTGTCTTTTATCGACATTATCCACATCATAAAAGAAGCGTGACCAGTTTGTTGTGTTAAAAAATAATAATAAAGTTTACCACATTTTGATTTAAAGCTTTCGTGACTGCAGGGATTCATATTCTTGGTTCTTTCGGTAAAGTCACGTAGAAGCGAAACAATACAATAATAAAAATATAAAACAATAAAATTCTCA